AAAAAAAAAAAAAAAAAAAAAAAATCACGTTTCATCGACGATCATTTTGCTCGTTAAATGAAATTTAAACCAAAGCGTATTTAAATAAAACGAATTATATTTCGCAAAAAAAAAAAAAGAGAATAAAATATGCGAGTGACACTAGATCGACAAATAAATAAAATTAAAATGTCCATCGTAGAGGAGAAACGACGAGTAAGTTTGTTTAACGATCGTAAATTGCAAATAACTGCGGGCAGTTTGATCGATCAGCTTCCGGATTCTTCGGACTAGAGTGATTCTTTCGCGGTTAATTTATCGTGCACGTATCCACGTCCCGATGAAACCACTGAAATCCCTCACTCGAGATCTAAATATACGCTCGGGCACGTGGGTGTGAACCGAAATGCGTTTTGAACTGGATTCGTTGCTTCGAGGATGATTTCATTGTGTTCCTTTCCGATTCGGGAAATCGCGTTAGACGTAATTTTCTCTTGTTCTTGTTCCCGCGAAACGTTTGTCTATTTTTAATTGCATTGTAGTTGACGTGAATGTTAATTATAGCGACGATCGTTGCAAAATATGCAAATGATGTAAGAGATTCTACGTATGTATGAACTTCTATAACAATACACTTGGGTCTATTTTAAGCAATAAAGCTTCTGCTTTGACAGTCTTGAATCCATTTTTTTCTTTTTTTTTTTTTAAACTTTCATGTTTTAACATTTATTCGAAAGAACGGGGATATTTTATGATAATTTTTTGAAAGAATTGTAAAAATTCAGACTAAAGGAAACATTGAAACATTTTTTTTCATAATTGAATCTATTACGATCTACAAGGTTGAAGTTTCTTCTTTGTAACGATCTCTTTCCCCCCCGCTATTTTATTGAACTTTGAATGTTAAACTACTTAAGAGAAGAGAAAGAAATCTTGATATTTTGTTGGATTTTCTTCGCGCAACTTCAATATTCAAAGTTCTATAAAATAGCACAAAGGAATCAGTAAGTTTTAAAGAGGAAATTTCAATCTTCTAGATCTAGACCGTGGTAGATTCAATCAGAAGACAAATTTTTCATTATTCTTGCACAAGTTTTGAATTTTGCACAAGGATACCTCCACCTTTTCATTTTCCATATAATATTAAGAAATCTTTGAAAAGAACAAACTGTCGAAGTAGAGGCTTCGCGCTTTGAAATAAATTCAAATCGATTGGAGTACAATTTTCTAATAAATCACAACGATTTATGCAAATATTTGAAATATACAAGGGAAAGATTCCTCAGTGTCTGAATACTTTTCAGCGGTAGATACTATGTTTGCCCTGAAACTTGCCCTGAAATTTCTAATTTCTCTTCCTAAAAGATTCAACTTCAAGAAATTGATCAACTTGCCGTCTCAGCGAGGTTCGGCTATTCAAATCAATTTTCGTGTATCAAAGACGAAGAGAAGAATTAGGAGGGAAATATGAAGGATGAAGTATCGTTCTCGGGCGAGGGAATGAAAATATATGTTATCCGATTGCAGAGGTTGCCTGACAGAGCCAGCATCCGAACTGGACCTCGCATGGTCTGGTTACGTGGAAACGGTGGAGAGGCTCGTTGTGGCGGTCGACGGTCGTATGGATCCGTTGCGCTTGAATGCCGAGAGGGCTGTCAGACAATTGGACACCCGCATTTCGGACGCCATTATGCACGCGATGGAGAACGGGCCGGCGCTCGAGGAGAAGGTGAGTACCCGCCCGAAAGAATTCGAGCACGCGCGTAATCTTCGTCCGACGTACAGGGTGAATCTTCTTCACTTGGCTGCAGAAATGCGCGTACTTTACTCTCGACTTACGTACTTTCATTCTTTTCATCCTTATACTCGTTTTGTTTCTTAAACTCGCGATATATCGTATCTATACTGCGACCATTTCCAGACTGTTCGATCTTCTCTCTCTCAGTTTTACGAATTCATTTCATTGCCAGTCACTTACGCCGGGCTTCGATAAATATAACGATCGAGCAGAAGCTTTTACGATTAATAATTTCGTCGGTTTGAAAAATTGAAATTAACTTCGGACTCGGGCAACTATATTTAATCTTGTCCATTTATTTTTTCAAATTCATATTATATCACGGTGTTTGTATTCATTTGGTTCGATTACTGTTTTCTAGTTTACGATTTATTTTATTACGAGCTTCGTAAGCCAGATTTTTGGTAGATGTAATAATGTGTCGAGCAGAAGCTATGAATCTTTTATAATTAATCGTTCTTGCTTTGAAAGATTGAAATCGGAGCTACGTTACTAGTGTATCTTTCTTGGAGAATTGGAGTGGAATATTAGAATTCAGTCTAATTTGGAAAACTAGTACAAGTTTTTTACAAAAATGATAAACGATAAGATTCATACTTATCTGGAGAATTCTGTTATGAGTTACCTGTATTGTTAATAATCTCTAGCATCACTTTATCCACGACTTCCTTTGATGAGAAAGATTTTATCATTTGTACTACTTTTT